CCTGGCTGCCCGGGCGTGCTCCCCGCGAGCCCGCGGGCGGCCTCGGGCGGCGGACGACAGCGGCGCGGGGCGGCGCGGGCCTGGGCCGGGCGCTGTCCCCGGCCCCGAGCGCGGGGCTCAGGTGACCCTCGCCGCCCACCTCCGCTCTCCGCTCCCCGCTCTGAGCCCTGGACTGGTCCCCAGAGCCGGTCCGCAGAGCCGCTGGTGACTGGGAACGGCCGCTCTGAGCTCGTATATCAGAGACCCCCGCCCAGGCTGTGTGCTCCTTGACCCTGCTCCAGTCTTTCATAGCACTTCACACTCCCTGAAATCACCGCGCTTTTAATTTTTACTTGTGTATTGATTGTCTTTCCCACTAGAATGTACGCTCCAAGAGGCAGGGCCTCACTGTTATCCCCACTGCCTAGACTAGTGTTTGGGACATGTAGTGGTAAGTGCTTGATAAATATGTATTAAATATGAAAAAAGGAATGCACCAAGGATCAAGTGAGAAATCGGAGAAGGCTTCCTGGAGGAGGTGGCATTGCCCTAAGGCTGAATGGATGCAAAGGAAGTATCTCTGTGAGCATCTGGAGGGAAGGCAGTTCCAGGCAGGGGCAACAGCAATGCCAAGGCCTTGCGGATGACCATGCAACCATGGGGAGAGCTTAGAAGATGAGATGGAAGAGGTGGGTGGGGCAGATCACAGAGGATCTGGCAGACCAGGGCAAGGAGCTGGGATTTTATTCTAACTATGTTTTAAGCTGAGGAGTCATAGTTATGATTTGCCTTTTGGAAAGATCAGTCTGGCAACAGTGTAGACAGTGGGTCATCGGGGTCATGTAGGTGCCAGACGGGAGTAGAGTTCCCTGGAGCCATGACCCACACCCGGGAGCTAGCCAGTACTCCAGCACATGGCATAATGCCACTGTGGGCACTCTGTCCCTGAGTGTTAATCCAGTCAAACGAAGTCCCGTGGAGACCCGGGCCCAGAACCCCCACCCCAAGCACGGGTGTGGACAAAACCTTCCCTCACTCTTCTGTTCCTGCCCCCTCCCTCCAGACATGGGTCACAACTGGCAAGCCACTTCCTCCGAGCGGCCCTCAAGGATTGCCACCTCCCCGCCGTTCTGGCCTGTAAGGAAGTGGAACTGTTTCCCCAGCCACTGGCAGTGCTGTCAGCAGACAGCCCCAGCCTCCGGCCTCTTCGGGAACTGCCGCTGCTGCTAGCAGCCTCGCCCACGGCCAGGCCCTCTTGGATGGTCCACCTCCCAGTGGCTATCCTGGCAGGAGCATAAAAGTCTGGCCACCCCTGCCCAAGTGGGGACAGTGCCGATGGGGTGTTTTCGCCCAGGACTCCCGATGGCAATGGGGGAAGCTGTCACCCTACCTGCTACCTGCATCGCTGCCCAAGGTCTCCCTCCCGCTTCTGTCCCATCCCTCGGCCAGGCGTTAATCCTAAGGGAACTTCCTAATAAACATCCTGAACACTAAGCTCAGGGGCCATGACAGTGCTTCACACAGACTTTAAACAGGAGGCCCCGTGGGGTGGTCTGCAAAGAAAAACTGCCTTTTGCTGGATTGTTCCTGAGTTCCAACTGAGAGGCCAGCGGGTAGGCAGCAATCGCAGTGCAGTGAGGGTGCTCCGGGAGCACGGGGGAGCACCGTGGAGCTCTGCAGAGTCGCCAGGGTGCAGTAATGTCTCCTGACGGATCGGGGTGTGAGTTAAGCCAATCTGTGCAGTGGAGATGGAGGAAGGTCTGCAGCGGAGCAGTGCAAGGCCCCAACGGAGGGGAAACATTATAATGGTTCTGACCTGAGTTTACCACTTAGCTCGGTCAGAATGTGTGACCTTGGGAGGAGTAAACTGACCCTATGCTGCTTCTCCCATCAAGACATGGCTTCTATTTCCCTCCCCTCCCCCATCCGTGTGGGCGGCCCGCTTTGATCATAGGATGCAGCAGCAGTGTTGCTGTTCCAGCTCCTGGCTGGCTCCGTGGAGGACCGGCAGCTCGCTTCACTCCCTCGAAGCTCTGGGCCACGGCGTGGAGAGGGAGACCCAACCAGCCTTCACTCTCCCTGGCCACCCAGCAGAGCCCATCAAGGGACTCCAGTGGGTTGGCTCCAGCCACGCCACAAGGAACAGAGCAAGCCCTGCCCAACCAAGCCCTGCCCAAAACGCAGACTTGGGAGCCTACGGATGATTGTGGTTTTAAGCCACTAAGGTGTAGGCTGGTTTGTTTCCTAGCAATGGAGAAATGGTATACCCGACCCTTTGAATCTTGGGGTTACCAGCAATGCACGGGAGCAGTGAGGCTTAGTTTCGTGGTTGGGATGAAGCTGGGTGTCAGGTGAGTTTAGCTTCTCAGGGATGATCACTCACTCCTATGACCTAATTATGACTGTGTATTTGGGCGACTACATACCTTCTCTCCCTTGGTAGGTTTTTAACTACTTGAGGGTAAATTTGGTAGTGCCTACAGACACACTGTTTGAGCCATACTGTGTGAACAAGATGCATATTGTAACCTGTGACTCTTCGGTGTAACACGGCACGATTAGACCCAGTCTGGACCTCGGGCTGCCAGTCCAGTACAGGGGAGAAGACAGATGTGCAGGAGATGGTCCACCATTCCCTCTTTTTGCTTTGTGAATGTCGGTGATGCACAGGTGGTGGGAATGTTGACGTTTAACTGTGCACCAGACGCAGAGCCGTACAGTCTCCCCGGTGCTGAGAAGTAGGCACATGGCCCCATCTTACAGATGAAGAAACTGAGCTTAAGGAGGCTCAGTGCGGCAGCTGGGATTTGAGGCTGGGCCTGTGGACTCAGGGCTGGGCCCTCTGGCTACCGTCCGTTGCTGTCCTAAGGCCCCGCATGCCTTTCCTCACGAGCCCGCATAAACACACTGTAACCTGAGGCGCTCTGCCCCACAGACCAGCCTGGGCCTCCAGAGGCAGCACGGAGGGCCCCGCTGCGCCCAGGGCCACCCTCTCGGCAGCTCCACAACGCGCCCCAGCCTCTTGGAAGAAGTCGTGACAGACACTGGGGCTTGACGCCTGACAGCATGGTTTGGAGGGACAAATAGGAGTTTTTTAAGAATGGGATTTAGCCGGCGGGAAAAGCATGTGCAAACACGTTCCCAACAGCACTGGATGTTTTTGGGATCAGCAACTGCTGTGGGTGAGGATGTGGGGGGCGGGGCAGGGTGAGGCTGGGAGACCTGAGTGTAGCCCACAGCACCTCTGGGGCTGGGACGGCACTTGAGTTGTCCAGATTCTGGGCAAGGGAGTCAGGCCTTTGCCTGCCCACGGGGACCACTCGTGATCAGATGTTTGCCCCTGGGCACGGGGCTGGCCTTTGGGCAAAGCGGCTCAGCTGAGTCCTGGAGAGGAACCAGGCAGTGCCATCCTCTGCCCAGTCTCCCCACAGCAGGGGCCTGAGTGCCTGGGGGATGCACGGTGGCCGGGCATGACAGCACCCGTCACGGTCTCCGAGTTCCCAGTCTTCATCTAGGGAGTGAAGCAGGCAACGCCTCCCTCCTGGAGCCTGTGGGAGGACCCAGGGAGACAGTGCAGGCAGCACGCAGGGCCCGCCCGGCCGCCGGCTCTGAAGCGCTTTCAGCTGTGCACCCCAACCTGGTTGTTAATTACATCTTGGGAGTTCAGTGTGTGTGGCTGATCCACCCCCGTGTGCTGGTGAGCATTGCGTTCTGCTGCAAGTAACGGAAACTCCAATAAAAACGGCTTAGAGAAGACACAGGCTTCTTGCCCCTCAAGTTCCAGAAGTCCAGGGTCAGTGCCGCCCACTGTGCTACCACTTGCCACCTGTGGCTCTCGGGCACTTGAAACATGGTGGGTCTGAACCGAGGTGAGCCAGAAACATGAGGGACACACCAGGCTCACAACTCTGTAGGACATAAAGGAATGTAGCATAGCCCGCCGGTCATTTTTATACGGACCACATGGTAAATGATAATAGTTTGAATATATTGGGTTACATACAATATAATATGGAAGTTAATTTCAACTGTTTATTTTTACTTTTTAAAAATTTACCTATGTGGCTTGTGTTTGTGGCTTGCTTCGTATTCATTCCTATTGCTATTGGAACTGGTCCCAGAGCAGTGGTTCTCATCCAAAACTGGCTTTTCCTCCAGAGGACAAGGGCAATCTCTGGAGACACTGTGGCTGTCACAACTGGAGGTGGAGGTGCTACTGGGCGTCGTGGGCAGAGGCCAGGGAAGCTGCCAGACATCCTACCATGCACAGGACAGTTCCCCACACAAAGAACTATCCAGCACAAAATGTTAGTAAGACTCAGGTTGAGAAACCCTGGTCTAGAGGTTCGTGGCATCTACAATGTCAGGAACCCAGTCTTCCTTTTTGCTTTTATGGTGGGCTCTGATCCAATATGAAGGAACCCAGTCTTCTTATGCCAGGTGAACATTCCATTTGCAAGGTCATGGCACAGCCTAAAATGACTGCTGGAGTTCCAGCCATTGTGACGGCATTCCTGCCAGCCACAAAGAGGAAGGCCAGAATAAGGGCACACCTTCTCTCCTGAAGGAAGATGTACACCCCACCTCTGCTTTCTTCCCCCGACTGGAACCTAGTCGCCTGGCCTCCCCTTGCTGTTTGGAGGCTGGGGAATGCCGTCTTTACTGGAGTGGTGTGTGCCCAGCTACAATGAGGGGTTTCCTACTGAGGAAGATGGGAGAATGGCTCTGAGGGGGAGACTAGTCTTACTTTATCTGTCTTGCTTTGCCCGGGGAAACCAGGGAAGCAGTGTTACCCCCATTTTACAGATGAAGAAAAAGAGTCTCATAGTTAAGGGGAACTTGCCAAGACACAAAGTGAATGTCAAGCCCCCAGCAGGAACTGAGGCCTCCTGACTCCTGGTTGCCTCTTCCTCACACTCTGCTGTCCTGTAATCTTGGCTCAACCACATCTGGGTCCTTTGAGTCCCATTTGTGATGACCCATACTGTCATCTCAGATGTGATTCATCGTTGTGTCTGATCCCAGCTTCTCCGTCAAGAACTCCCCTGGCTTCTCAAGAGAAGAGAGTGACTTTTCCAAGATGTTCCTTCACATTCAGGTAAAGTCTTGCCTGTGTTTGATGAAACTGCCTGGTCTCAGGTCCTCAGCTGTGACACATGCACACAGTAAGATGTCACAGTGGGGGAAATTGGGGGAAGGGGGTGCAGAAATTCTCTGTATTCTATCAGCAACTTCCCTGTAAATTTAAATTATTACAAAACAAAATGGTTTTTTTAAGAAAAACGTTCCTTCATAATTCAAATGGTTAAAGTTATCAATTTGGGCATGTGTGGTTTGGTTTTCTTAAAGCAGAGCTCACTTGCATTGCTGGCGTTCAGTATGCACCAACTAGCCCAGACAGGGTGGGCATACACATGGCACTTGACAGACAGCCACCGTGTGTCCAGCCCCTGGCATATCCAAGCCCTGTACGGGAACACTGTTTGCTAGTTCACCTAGTCCTCACAACGCCCTGTGAAACTGCTGATGGGCCCATTTTACAGATGAGGCTGTGGAGGCCCAAGAGGTCAGACAACTTGCCCAGGTTCACCTGAGCAGCAAGTGGAGGAGCTGGGATTTGAACCACGGTCACTCCTACTGCAAAGACCCTGCTGTGACCCTCCGCCTACTGTCCCCTCTCTCCCCTAGACTGTGCCATCAATCTTTTGGGCAGCAGTCAGGTGTCCCCATTCTGACCAGGCCTGCCCTGCTCCCCGCTCGGCAGTCGCAGTGCATTGCCCTGGGTGGAGCTGCCACGTGCACTTTGGCACAGCGCCGTCCCTCCAGGACCAGACAGGCACCTGTTATCTGCTGCACTCCTCCCTCCGCAAATGTCCCCGCTTACAGGTGCCAGCCTCCACAGGGGCCGCATGGGGCGCCTCCTCCCCTAAAGACTGCGCTGCAGAGAAACGCGAGACTGCAGAGGGAGAGAACTCCGGCGCTCCCCCTCGTGATCCCTTTGAACTCCTGACATCCCAGGGAGGTAGGTGTCATCGCACCCACTTCACTGATGAGAAAACTGGGCCTCCGAGAAGCTCGACTAAGTTCGCACAGCTGGCGGTGGAGCCAGGACAGGCCCGCTGTGGTCTCCCCAGCCCTGCCTGATGCCGGGGCTGAAAGGAGAAGTTGGACAAGAATTCTGGAGGAATTTGACATTGGGGTCCCCATGAAAGAGCCCAGCCAGATCACCCTAGAGTGACAGTCAACAGCCCCTCCTGTACATCCTGAGCTGCCAGTCCCTCTTAATACAAGCGGACACTCGCGGATTACCCAACATGTGAGAAAGGGCTCTGCATAAAAGAGACAGAAACACAAACGCAGGCACAGTGGGGCAGGGAGTGGGAAGCGACTGGGAGGAAACAGAGAACCCACAGAGAGGGGAGATGGTTAGACTCTATCAGTGTTGGCAACGGCCATCCCGGAGCTAGCGCTTAGGGAGGCGATGGCCGGCCACTTTGTCCTTTAGGCCACGTCTGGTGACTAGCACACACACCGTGCAAGACAGCAGGGCTGCTCATACGGCTGCTGAGTTTTGTGCTCTGCCTCAAGCGCAGGCCAGTGCAGGCTAGTGGAGCTAAAGTCCAGCCCATGCTCCTCCTACCAAGCCACGCGTCTGGCATGGGGCTGCTACTGTCCAGAGAAAAGCACCAAAAACACCATCTGCCTGTGCAGCTAATGGCGTGGGCTGTGTCCACCTGGGGCCGCACAGGCTGGCAGGGGCCTATCTGTTTCACACCTCAGCTGTTTGTCTCCCTACTGTCCCTGCTCCCTGGAGCTCCTCAATCCCTCCTCCCTGCCCCCAGGTTGCCTAGCTAGCTTTCACAAGGCTCAGCTCAGTGTCACCTCCTCCAGGAAGCCTTCCCTGCCCCCAGCAGAGCAGGCCAGGTGCTCCCCTTCTTTACTCAAGGTCTACAGACGTTGGCTCAGGGCAGTGGCACGGGCCCCCAAGCCCAGGCTTCAGAGAGGACAAAGCCTGCCGAGAAAGAATAAGACAAGCCTGGCTTCAAATCTTGCTTTTGTGACTTACAGCTATGAGACCTTGACTAATCTCTGGTTTTTTGTTTGTTTGTTTGTTTGTTTTTTGAGACAGAAATTCACTCTGTCGCCTGGACCAGAGTGCAGTGGCATCATCATATCTCTAACTCTTGGGCTCAAGGGATCCTCCCGCCTCGGCCCTCCCAGAGTGCTAGAATTACAGGCGTGAGCCGCCGTGCCCAGCCTGGATCTGTTTTAAACTCAGAGTTGCCCGTGTTGCCAGAGTGGCCCCTGGGCTGTGGCTTGGGCCGTCGAGTGTGTTGGTGGTGCAGCATTTACGGACAGAGTGCTTCACGGTTGGCTCCAGGGTTTTCTTCACTGGTACCCCTCCCCCTTTGACGGAGAGGCTCTCTCAGCCTACCCTGAGATTTCACGTGCTTGCAGGCAATGTCGACCATGTCGCAAAGCTGCCAGATGGCCAGAGGCATCACCGACTGTCAGAAGCATCCCAATCTCGGAGACACGAAAATGTGGAAAAAATGTGTCTCAGAATGAACGAAATATGCTGGCTCACCACAGCCGTGAATCTCATCTTCTTATGGTGGACAATTTTTGCACCGCACTTCCCAGTCTCCCTTGCAGATAGCGCCCGAGCTTCCACCGGCGAGACGCCCGCAGGGAAGGCTGGATCTGGAAGCAACGTGAAGGAACAGCAGGGCAGAGGTTATCTGTTTGCTAGCGTGGGAGGAGCAGAGGCAGTGGTCTGAGGCTAACTAGATCAATTAAGCAGCGATGTTTCTGGAAGCTTTGCCCGGACCTGCTTCTTCAGCCTTCTAACAATTCTGTGGGTAATAAATTCCCTTCTGCCCCAGCCAGTTAGAGTCGCCCACTTAAGACCTTTCCTTTCCTTTTCCTTGTGAACAAAACCCTGATTTTGTCGGGGGTCAGCAACAGTCTCCCGGGCTCGTCAAAGAGAGGGCTAACCGTGTAACTCAATTCCGGCCAAGGAGACGTAAGTAGGAGCTGCCGAGTGGAAAATCCCAGAGAAGGTGAGTTCAGTGTGTTCCCAGGTAATGCCCCGCAGCCGGTGTGGCTGCGCTGCCCACAGCTGGAGTCTCGTTTTATCGTTAGCTGTAGCCATCGGGCACGCTGGCAAGAAAAGTACCATCAGAAACAAAATCACACCCTGAAATGCACGTTTGGCATTATGATAGAGCAACAAAGATATGAGCATTCGGCTTCCTGCCGTGTGTTGACGGCGCCCCCGGGGGTGGCGGGATGCTCTTCCGGCTCTGCACACGGTCTGCACCGTCCTTGTGAGCCGGGGTCTGGGCGCGGCTGGCCCTGCGCTTCTGCGGACAGCGTCAGTGCAGGAAATATTTGGCAGGCTAGAAGCGGAGCTGTTGTCTTGCCTTTGCCTAGGTAAATTATAGATTGCGTGACCACTGACTTGCGTTTTATTTTATATGGTTAAGATTTGTCTTTGAATGATAATAAATGTCCATCTTATAGAAAACCTCTGTTTATAACTCGGCATATGGTGATTTTCCATATGGTTGCCCTACGTCCCCTTTGGCACCCTCAGAAGTTGGTGTTGGTTTTCATGATAGTCTCATTTCTTAGTGTTTTAAATTAGAATAATCTGGCCTCATGAAGCTTTAAATTATTTTAAGTTTCTTTGCAGATTGAGTGTTCCCTGTGTAACATTTATTCAATGTGCCGCTGCCTATTCCACACTGGATATAGCACTTCCACACGTATTCTGTTGAACCTAGTAAGGAAATCTGAGTATGATCTTTCCCACCTAAAAGTGCTTAATGGCTTATACAAACATATTCTATTTTTTTTTGTTTTGTTTTGTTTTGTTTTGTTTTGTTTTTGAGACAGAGTCTTACTCTGTTGCCCTGGCTAGAGTGCCATGGTGTCAGCCTTGCTCACAGCAACCTCAAACTCCTGGGCTCAAGCAATCCTTCTGCCTCAGCCTCCAGAGTAGCTGGGACTACAGGTATGCGCCACCATGCCCAGCTAATTTTTTGTATATATTTTTAGTTGGCCAATTAATTTCTTTCTATTTTTAGTAGAGACAGTGTCTCGCTCTTGCTCAGGCTGGTTTTGAACTCCTGACCTTGAGCAATCTGCCCACCTCGGCCTCCCAGAGTGCTAGGATTACAGGTGTGAGCCACCACGCCCAACCTGAAACATATTCTATTGCAAAGAAAGATGAGAGAGGGCTAATTCAGTTTCCCAATCTCTTTTGCCCTTGCCCCTTCCTCCTCCCTGCTGCCTGGAAGGCAGATGTGAAGTCTGGAGCTCAGGCAGCCATCTTGTGACAGCTAAGTACCCATTCTAACATTGTCTGAGCAGAAATACAAAAGGAACCTAGATCCCTGAATTCATCATGAAGACATCATTTCAGCCCTGGGTTGCCCATTATATCCTAATGGATACTAAGTGATCTAATCTGGTACCTCAAAGTGGAGGACACAAGTTACAGAGTCTAAGTTTTGGAATTGGCTGAGTGGAGAGGGTCGAGTTTGAGGCTGTTAAGGTAAAGACATAGCAGTTTGGAAAGTTGTTACCTTTAGTTATGCAGAAATGAAACATGTGGTCAAATTGCTGCCTGTGGCACTTTCGAAAATGGACTCTGTGCCGACCAAGGCAGTAGGTTGGGGCACATAGTGGGAAAAGCAGCAGAATATTGGCAGGTGTGGGCTCAGTTTATTCTGGCTGCTTTTAGCCAAGGACTGTAAGAAAAAGAAAACTCAGGCTAGGGCCGACCAGTCAGGAAAGGAAGAAAATACCACCCCGCCTACAGCCCGAACTCTAAATTGATTGGCGGTCCTGCACTCTGGAGCCCTGCGGAGCTGAAGAGGTCAGCGGCTTCCGTGCTCCCGTCTGTGGAATGAATGCAAAGCAGCGGGAATGGCCCAAGCTCAAGGTGCGAACACTGGGCTCTGGCTTCTCCATCACTTCCACAGAGAGTTTTCAGCCAGACAGCTGGGTCGAGCCAACAAGAAAGGTCAAGTCAAGGCTATTGCCTTTCTACCTGGACCTATTTTTCAAATGACCTCAAGGCATGAGCAGAGGGTTATCAATAGTTACAGGGCCCCAAATTTTCAGAGTAAAAAAAAAAAAAGATTCTTGCAGTAAGTATAATTGTTATGGGATTCGCATCCAGAATAGACTAAGAATTCCCATAAATCAATGAGAATAAGACAAACCACTCAATCCAATAATGGGCAACAGAATTGAAGAGGCATTGCCCAGAAAAGGAATACAAATGGTCTGTAAACATATAAACATTGTCCAACCTCATTAGTAATCAGGAAAGTGAAAATTCTGGCCCTGAGAAAAGATTTTACAGTCAAAAGGCTGACAAAACTTTTAACATCAGAAAACACCAAGTATTGGCAAGGACGTGGTGTAGATTGATAAACCACTGTAGAAACCAGTCTGGTAGGAAACAGTTACACATGTGCAGACCCTGTGACTCAGCAAATCCACTCCTGCACAGACAGACCTTCCCTACATATACTTAAGATGATTTGACTTAGGTCTCCCTCCCTCCCTCCCTCCCTCCCTTCCTTCCTTCCTTTTTTCTTTCTCTCTCTCTGTCTCTCTCTCTTCCTTCCTTCTTTTCTTTCTTTCTCTTTCCCTCCCTCCCTCCATCCCTCCCTTTCTCTCTCTCTCTCTTTCTCTCTCCCTCCCTCCCTCCCTCCCTCCCTTCCTTCCTTCCTTCCTCCTCTCTTTCTTCTTTCACAGGACCTCACTTTGTCACCCAGGCTACAGTGCAGTTGTGTGGTCATAGCTCACTACAGCCTTGAACTCCTGGGCTCAAGTGATCCTCCTGTCTCAGCCTCCCAAGTAGCTGGGACTAACGTTTCATGACATCAAGCCCAGCTAATATTTCTATTTTTCATAGAGACAGTGTCTCACTATGTTCCCCAAGCTGGCATTGAAGTCCTATCCTCAAGCCATCCTCCTGCCTTGGCCTCCCAAAGTGCTGGGATTACAGGTGTGAGCCACCGCACCTAACCAATTTACGATTTGTCAACTTTGTGATGACGCAAAAGCAATACACATTCAGTAGAAACCACGCTTCAAATGCCCATACGACCATTCTGTTTTTCATTCTTAGTACAGTATTGAATAAATTAGATGAGATAGTCAATACTTCTCTTATAAAGTAGGCCTTGTGTTAGAGGATCTTGTCTAACTGTAGTCTAATGTAAGTGTTCTAAGCACATTTAAGGTAGGCTAGGCTAAGCTATGTTGCTCGGTAGGTTAGTTGTATTAAATGCATTTTTTTTTTTTTTTTTTGAAGCTGGACAGAGGAAACTTGAGCCCAGGAGTTCAAGGCTGTATTAGCTATCACACAACA